CAGCACCTTGCTGCTCACCACCGCCACTGTGGTCACTGGTCAGCTCTGACCCAGGGAGTTCATCAAGGTGCAGCTGAACCTCCTCCACTGCAGACCGCTCAATCTCCTGCAGACGCAAGCCAATCTGCACCTGCTGCTGCTGCTGCCAATCCTTGTACATGACGTCCTCCACAAACTTGACGTCACGACTGATCAGCGTCCTCTTGCTCTTGGGGTCCCACATCAGCCACCCCTTCGAGTCAGGAGCCATCCCAAGATGGACAGCCCACACAGCAGCAACTTCCAGCTTGTGCCTCTGCTCCTTAGGCACCATCACAAGCCCCATGCAGCCCCACACCCGCAGCATGTCAATGGATGGCTTCTTCCCAAGCCAGCGCTCGTACGGCACCCAGTGCTTGTTGCCAACATGCGTCAAGACCCTGTTCTTGACCGTGATGACATGGCGAACAGCTTCAGGCCAGAACTTGTAGGGCATCCCAGCAGCCCCCAACAAGGTCTTAGCCGCCTCGCCAATGGTCCGGTTGGCACGCTCAGCAATGCCGTTCTGCTGCGGTGTTCCAGGGCAGGTCAGCTGATGTCGGATGCCATTTCTCTTGAGGAACTTGGTGAATTCCGCTCCAAGGAACTCTCCACCTCGGTCGCTCCTCAGCACCTTCACCAGCCGCATCGCTTGCCGCTCCACCATCGGCAACCAATCCTCCTTGATTGCCGCTGCAGCATCGCTCTTCTTGGACAAGGGACGTGCCCACGTGAAACGGCTCCATTCGTCCACCATGGTGAGGAAGTACAGCACTCCCCCAGTCCCCTCAGTCCTCATAGGACCCACCAGGTCCATGTGCACCACCTCCAGTGGCGCCTTCGCTGATCCCTCCGCACGTGGAAACGGGAACCGCGCAAACTTGTTTTGCATGCACGCCTCGCAGCTGCCATAGTGAGCGCCATCACCATGCAGTTGCAGCCCATGCACGCACTTCTCCTTGTGCATCACCTCCAATGTGGAAACAGCCACGTGTGCGAGCCGCCGATGCCAAGTCTCCCAGTCCGCTTGGCCCGAGGTAGCCGACGCCTTCACCGCCGCGCTTCCTCCAATCAGCTCCTCTCCTTGCACACCTTGCTGCTCCTCGGTGACACTCTCCTCCATAGATGCCGCCACTGCCGCCTTGCCCGATTTTCGCCAAGGGAGGACCGGGATCTGCCACCCCTTGAGCGTCGCGATGCTCTCCCCGGATGCCCCAGAGCGTCGCGATGCTCTCCCCGGACGCCCCAGAGCGTCGCGATGCTCTCCCCGGACGCCCCAGAGCGTCGCGATGCTCTCCCCGGACGCCCAAGAGCATCGCGAGGCTCTCCCCGGACGCCCTAGAGCGTCGCGATGCTCTCCCCGGACGCCCCAGAGCATCGCGATGCTCTCCCCGGACGCCCCAGAGCATCACGATGCTCTCCCCGGACGCTCCAGAGCGTCGCGATGCTCTCCCCGGACGCACCAGAGCGTCGCGATGCTCTACCCGGACGCCCCAGAGCGTCGCGATGCTCTCCCCGGACGCCCCAGAGCGTCGCGATGCTCTCCCCGGACGCCCCAGAGCGTTGCGATGCTCTCCCCCGACGCCCCAAAGCGTCGCGATGCTCTACCCGGACGCCCCAGAGCGTCGCGCTGCTCTCCTCAGCCGCCCCAGAGCGTCGTGATGCTCTCCCCGGACGCCCCAGAGCGTCGCGATGCTCTCCCCGGACGACCCAGAGCGTCGCGATGCTCTCCCCAGCCGCCCCAGAGCGTCGTGATGCTCTCCCCGGACGCCCCAGAACGTCGCGACGCTCTCCTCGAATGCCCCAGAGCATCGCGACGCTCTCCCCAAACGCCCCAGAGCGTCGCGATGCTCTCCCCGGACGCCCCAGCGCGTCGCGATGCTCTCCCCGGACGCCCCAGAGCGTCGCGATGCTCTCCCCGGACGCCCCAGAGCGTCGCTATGCTCTCCCCGGACGCCCCAGAGCGTCGCGATGCTCTCCCCGGACGCCCCAGAGCGTCGCGATGCTCTCCCCGGACGCCCCAGAGCGTCGCGATGCTCTCCCCAGACGCCCCAGAGCGTAGCGATGCTCTACCCGGACGCCCCAGAGCGTCGCGATGCTCTCCCCAGCCGCCCCAGAGCGTCGTGATGCTCTCCCCGGACGCCCCAGAGCGTCGCGATGCTCTCCCCGGACGCCCCAGAGCGTCGCGATGCTCTCCCCGGACGCCCCAGAGCGTCGCGATGCTCTCCCTGGACGCCCCAGAGCGTCGCGATGCTCTCCCCGGACGCCCCAGAGCGTCGCGATGCTCTCTCCCCGGACGCCCCAGAGCGTCGCTATGCTCTCCTCGGACGCCCCAAAGCGTCGCGATGCTCTCCCCGGACGCCCCAGAGCATCGCGATGCTCTCCCCGGACGCCCCAGAGCGTCGCGATGCTCTCCCCGGACGCCCCAGAGCGTCGCTATGCTCTCCCCGGACGCCCCAGAGCGTCGCGATGCTCTCCCCGGACGCCCCAGAGCATCGCGATGCTCTCCCCGGACGCCCCAGAGCGTCGCGATGCTCTCCCCGGACGCCCCAGAGCATCGCGATGCTCTCCCCGGACGCCCCAGAGCGTCGCGATGCTCTCCCCGGACGCCCCAGAGCGTCGCTATGCTCTCCCCGGACGCCCCAGAGCGTCGCGATGCTCTCCCCGGACGCCCAAGAGCATCGCGAGGCTCTCCCCGGACGCCCTAGAGCGTCGCGATGCTCTCCCCGGACGCCCCAGAGCATCGCGATGCTCTCCCCGGACGCCCTAGAGCATCACGATGCTCTCCCCGGACGCTCCAGAGCGTCGCGATGCTCTCCCCGGACGCACCAGAGCATCGCGATGCTCTACCCGGACGCCCCAGAGCGTCGCGATGCTCTCCCCGGACGCCCCAGAGCGTCGCGATGCTCTCCCCGGACGCCCCAGAGCGTTGCGATGCTCTCCCCCGACGCCCCAAAGCGTCGCGATGCTCTACCCGGACGCCCCAGAGCGTCGCGCTGCTCTCCTCAGCCGCCCCAGAGCGTCGTGATGCTCTCCCCGGACGCCCCAGAGCGTCGCGATGCTCTCCCCGGACGACCCAGAGCGTCGCGATGCTCTCCCCAGCCGCCCCAGAGCGTCGTGATGCTCTCCCCGGACGCCCCAGAACGTCGCGACGCTCTCCTCGAATGCCCCAGAGCATCGCGACGCTCTCCCCAAACGCCCCAGAGCGTCGCGATGCTCTCCCCGGACGCCCCAGCGCGTCGCGATGCTCTCCCCGGACGCCCCAGAGCGTCGCGATGCTCTCCCCGGACGCCCCAGAGCGTCGCGATGCTCTCCCCGGACGCCCCAGAGCGTCGCGATGCTCTCCCTGGACGCCCCAGAGCGTCGCGATGCTCTCCCCGGACGCCCCAGAGCGTCGCGATGCTCTCTCCCCGGACGCCCCAGAGCGTCGCTATGCTCTCCTCGGACGCCCCAAAGCGTCGCGATGCTCTCCCCGGACGCCCCAGAGCATCGCGATGCTCTCCCCGGACGCCCCAGAGCGTCGCGATGCTCTCCCCGGACGCCCCAGAGCGTCGCTATGCTCTCCCCGGACGCCCCAGAGCGCCGCGATGCTCTCCCCGGACGCCCCAGAGCATCGCGATGCTCTCCCCGGACGCCCCAGAGCGTCGCGATGCTCTCCCCGGACGCCCCAGAGCATCGCGATGCTCTCCCCGGACGCCCCAGAGCGTCGCGATGCTCTCCCCGGACGCCCCAGAGCGTCGCTATGCTCTCCCCGGACGCCCCAGAGCGTCGCGATGCTCTCCCCGGACGCCCAAGAGCATCGCGAGGCTCTCCCCGGACGCCCTAGAGCGTCGCGATGCTCTCCCCGGACGCCCCAGAGCATCGCGATGCTCTCCCCGGACGCCCCAGAGCATCACGATGCTCTCCCCGGACGCTCCAGAGCGTCGCGATGCTCTCCCCGGACGCACCAGAGCATCGCGATGCTCTACCCGGACGCCCCAGAGCGTCGCGATGCTCTCCCCGGACGCCCCAGAGCGTCGCGATGCTCTCCCCGGACGCCCCAGAGCGTTGCGATGCTCTCCCCCGACGCCCCAAAGCGTCGCGATGCTCTACCCGGACGCCCCAGAGCGTCGCGCTGCTCTCCTCAGCCGCCCCAGAGCGTCGTGATGCTCTCCCCGGACGCCCCAGAGCGTCGCGATGCTCTCCCCGGACGACCCAGAGCGTCGCGATGCTCTCCCCAGCCGCCCCAGAGCGTCGTGATGCTCTCCCCGGACGCCCCAGAACGTCGCGACGCTCTCCTCGAATGCCCCAGAGCATCGCGACGCTCTCCCCAAACGCCCCAGAGCGTCGCGATGCTCTCCCCGGACGCCCCAGCGCGTCGCGATGCTCTCCCCGGACGCCCCAGAGCGTCGCGATGCTCTCCCCGGACGCCCCAGAGCGTCGCTATGCTCTCCTCGGACGCCCCAGAGCGTCGCGATGCTCTCCCCGGACGCCCCAGAGCGTCGCGATGCTCTCCCCGGACGCCCCAGAGCGTCGCGATGCTCTCCCCAGACGCCCCAGAGCGTAGCGATGCTCTACCCGGACGCCCCAGAGCGTCGCGATGCTCTCCCCAGCCGCCCCAGAGCGTCGTGATGCTCTCCCCGGACGCCCCAGAGCGTCGCGATGCTCTCCCCGGACGCCCCAGAGCGTCGCTATGCTCTCCCCGGACGCCCCAGAGCGTCGCGATGCTCTCCCCGGACGCCCCAGAGCGTCGCGATGCTCTCCCCGGACGCCCCAGAGCGTCGCGATGCTCTCCCCGGACGCCCCAGAGCGTCGCGATGCTCTCCCCGGACGCCCCAGAGCGTCGCTATGCTCTCCCCGGACGCCCCAGAGCGTCGCGATGCTCTCCCCGGACGCCCCAGAGCGTCGCGATGCTCTACCCGGACGCCCCAGAGCGTCGCGATGCTCTCCCCAGCCGCCCCAGAGCGTCGTGATGCTCTCCCCGGACGCCCCAGAGCGTCGCGATGCTCTCCCCGGACGCCCCAGAGCGTCGCGATGCTCTCCCCGGACGCCCCAGAGCGTCGCGATGCTCTCCCCGGACGCCCCAGAGCATCGCGATGCTCTCCCCGGACGCCCCAGAGCGTCGCGATGCTCTCCCCGGACGCCCCAGAGCGTCGCTATGCTCTCCCCGGACGCCCCAGAGCGTCGCGATGCTCTCCCCGGACGCCCCAGAGCATCGCGATGCTCTCCCCGGACGCCCCAGAGCGTCGCGACGCTCTCCCTGGACGCCCCAGAGCGTCGCGATGCTCTCCCCGGACGCCCCAGAGCGTCGCGATGCTCTCCCCGGACGCCCCAGAGCGTCGCTATGCTCTCCCCGGACGCCCCAGAGCGTCGCGATGCTCTCCCCGGACGCCCCAGAGCGTCGCGATGCTCTCCCCGGACGCCCCAGAGCGTCGCGATGCTCTCCCCAGACGCCCCAGAGCGTCGCGATGCTCTACCCGGACGCCCCAGAGCGTCGCGATGCTCTCCCCAGCCGCCCCAGAGCGTCGCGATGCTCTCCCCGGACGCCCCAGAGCGTCGCTATGCTCTCCCCGGACGCCCCAAAGCGTCGCGATGCTCTCCCCGGACGCCCCAAAGCGTCGCGATGCTCTCCCCGGACGCCCCAGAGCGTCGCGATGCTCTCCCCGGACGCCCCAGAGCGTCGCGATGCTCTCCCCGGACGCCCCAGAGCGTCGCTATGCTCTCCCCGGACGCCCCAGAGCGTCGCGATGCTCTCCCCGGACGCCCCAGAGCGTCGCGATGCTCTCCCCGGACGCCCCAGAGCGTCGCGATGCTCTACCCGGACGCCCCAGAGCGTCGCGATGCTCTCCCCAGCCGCCCCAGAGCGTCGTGATGCTCTCCCCGGACGCCCCAGAGCGTCGCGATGCTCTCCCCGGACGCCCCAGAGCGTCGCGATGCTCTCCCCGGACGCCCCAGAGCGTCGCGATGCTCTCCCCGGACGCCCCAGAGCGTCGCGATGCTCTCCCCGGACGCCCCAGAGCGTCGCGATGCTCTCTCCCCGGACGCCCCAAAGCGTCGCTATGCTCTCCTCGGACGCCCCAGAGCGTCGCGATGCTCTCCCCGGACGCCCCAGAGCATCGCGATGCTCTCCCCGGACGCCCCAGAGCGTCACGATGCTCTCCCCGGACGCCCCAGAGCGTCGCTATGCTCTCCCCGGACGCCCCAGAGCGTCGCGATGCTCTCCCCGGACGCCCCAGAGCATCGCGATGCTCTCCCCGGACGCCCCAGAGCGTCGCGACGCTCTCCCTGGACGCCCCAGAGCGTCGCGATGCTCTCCCCGGACGCCCCAGAGCGTCGCGATGCTCTCCCCGGACGCCCCAGAGCGTCGCTATGCTCTCCCCGGACGCCCCAGAGCGTCGTGATGCTCTCCCCGGACGACCCAGAGCGTCGCGATGCTCTCCCCGGACGCCCCAGAGCGTCGCGATGCTCTCCCCAGACGCCCCAGAGCGTCGCTATGCTCTCCCCGGACGCCCCAGAGCGTCGTGATGCTCTCCCCGGACGACCCAGAGCGTCGCGATGCTCTCCCCGGACGCCCCAGAGCATCGCGATGCTCTCCCCGGACGGCCCAGAGCATCGCGATGCTCTCCCCGGACGCCCCAGAGCGTCGCGATGCTCTCCCCGGACGCCCCAGAGCGTTGCGATGCTCTCCCCCGACGCCCCAAAGCGTCGCGATGCTCTACCCGGACGCCCCAGAGCGTCGCGATGCTCTCCTCAGCCGCCCCAGAGCGTCATGATGCTCTCCCCGGACGCCCCAGAGCGTCGCGATGCTCTCCCCGGACGCCCCAGAGCGTCGCGATGCTCTCCCCGGACGCCGAAGAGCGTCGCGATGCTCTACCCGGACGCCCCAGAGCGTCGCGATGCTCTCCCTGGACGCTCCAGAGCGTCGCGATGCTCTCCCCGGACGCCCCAGAGCGTCGCGATGCTCTACCCGGACGCCCCAGAGCGTCGCGATGCTCTCCCCGGACGCCCCAGAGCGTCGCGATGCTCTCCCCGGACGCCCCAGAGCGTCGCGATGCTCTTCCCGGACGCCGCAGCGCGTCCTGATGCTCTCCCCGGACGCCCCAGAGCGTCGCGATGCTCTCCCCGGAAGCCCCAGAGCGTCGCTATGCTCTCCCCGGACGCCCCAGAGCGTCGTGATGCTCTCCCTGGACGACCCAGAGCGTCGCGATGCTCTCCCCGGACGCCCCAGAGCGTCGCGATGCTCTCCCCGAACGCCCCAGAGCGTCGCGATGCTCTCCCCGGACGCCCCAGAGCGTCGTGATGCTCTCCCCGGACGACCCAGAGCGTCGCGATGCTCTCCCCGGACGCCCCAGAGCATCGCGATGCTCTCCCCGGACGGCCCAGAGCATCGCGATGCTCTCCCCGGACGCCCCAGAGCGTCGCGATGCTCTCCCCGGACGCCCCAGAGTGTTGCGATGCTCTCCCCCGACGCCCCAAAGCGTCGCGATGCTCTACCCGGACGCCCCAGAGCGTCGCAATGCTCTCCTCAGCCGCCCCAGAGCGTCATGATGCTCTCCCCGGACGCCCCAGAGCGTCGCGATGCTCTCCCCGGACGCCCCAGAGCGTCGCGATGCTCTCCCCGGACGCCGAAGAGCGTCGCGATGCTCTACCCGGACGCCCCAGAGCGTCGCGATGCTCTCCCCGGACGCTCCAGAGCGTCGCGATGCTCTCCCCGGACGCCCCAGAGCGTCGCGATGCTCTACCCGGACGCCCCAGATCGTCGCGATGCTCTCCCTGGACGCCCCAGAGCGTCGCGATGCTCTCCCCGGACACCCCAGAGCGTCGCGATGCTCTCCCCGGACGCCCCAGAGCGTCGCGATGCTCTACCCGGACGCCCCAGAGCGTCGCGATGCTCTCCCCGGACGCCCCAGCACGTCGCGATGCTCTCCCAGGACGCCCCAGAGCGTCGCGATGCTTTCCCCGGACGCCCCAGAGCGTCGCTATGCTCTCCCCGGACGCCCCAGAGCGTCGCGATGCTCTACCCGGACGCCCCAGAGCGTCGCGATGCTCTCCCCGGACGCCCCAGAGCGTCGTGATGCTCTCCCCGGATGCCCCAGAGCGTCGCTATGCTCTCCCCGAACGCCCCAGAGCGTCGCGATGCTCTATCCGGACGCCCCAAAGCGTCGCGATGCTCTTCCCGGACGCCGCAGCGCGTCGTGATGCTCTCCCCGGACGCCCCAGAGCGTCGCGATGCTCTCCCCGGACCCCCCAGCGCGTCGCGATGCTCTCCCCGGACGCCCCAGACCGTCGCGATGCTCTCCCCGGACGCCCCAGAGCGTCGCTATGCTCTCCCCGGACGCCCCAGAGCGTCGCGATGCTCTCCCCGGACGCCCCAGAGCGTCGCGATGCTCTACCCGGACGTTCCAGAGCGTCGCAATGCTCTCCCCGGACGCCCCAGAGCGTCGCGGTGCTCTCCCCGAACGCCCCAGAGCGTCGTGATGCTCTCCCCGGACGCCCCAGAGCGTCGCGATGCTCTCCCCGGACGCCCCAGAGCGTCGCGATGCTCTACCCGGACGCCCCAGAGCGTCGCGATGCTCTCCCCAGCCGCCCCAGAGCGTCGTGATGCTCTCCCCGAACGCCCCAGAACGTCGCGACGCTCTCCTCGAACGCCCCAGAGCATCGCGACGCTCTCCCTGAACGCCCCAGAGCGTCGCGATGCTCTCCCCGGACGCCCCAACGCGTCGCGATGCTCTCCCCGGACGCCCCAGAGCGTCGCGATGCTCTCCCCGGACGCCCCAGAGCGTCGCTATGCTCTCCCCGGACGCCCCAGAGCGTCGCGATGCTCTTCCCGGACGCCCCAGAGCGTTGCGATGCTCTCCCCGGACGCCCCAGAGCGTCGCGATGCTCTTCCCGGACGCCCCAGAGCGTCGCGATGCTCTCCCCAGACGCCCCAGAGCGTCGCGATGCTCTACCCGGACGCCCCAGAGCGTCGCGATGCTCTCCCCAGCCGCCCCAGAGCGTCGTGATGCTCTCCCCGGACGCCCCAGAGCGTCGCGATGCTCTCCCCGGACGCCCCAGAGCGTCGCTATGCTCTCCCCGGACGCCCCAGAGCGTCGCGATGCTCTCTCCGGACGCCCCAGAGCGTCGCGATGCTCTCCCTGGACGCCCCAGAGCGTCGCGATGCTCTCCCCGGACGCCCCAGAGCGTCGCTTTGCTCTCCCCGGACGCCCCAGAGCGTCGCGATGCTCTCCCCGGACGCCCCAGTGCATCGCGATGCTCTCCCCGGACGCCCCAGAGCGTCGCGATGCTCTCCCCGGACGCCCCAGAGCGTCGCGGTGCTCTCCCCGAACGCCCCAGAGCGTCGTGATGCTCTCCCCGGACGCCCCAGAGCGTCGCGATGCTCTCCCCGGACGCCCCAGAGCGTCGCGATGCTCTACCCGGACGCCCCAGAGCGTCGCGATGCTCTCCCCAGCCGCCCCAGAGCGTCGTGATGCTCTCCCCGGACGCCCCAGAACGTCGCGACGCTCTCCTCGAACGCCCCAGAGCATCGCGACGCTCTCCCCGAACGCCCCAGAGCGTCGCGATGCTCTCCCCGGACAACCCAGCGCGTCGCGATGCTCTCCCCGGACGCCCCAGAGCGTCGCGATGCTCTCCCCGGACGCCCCAGACCATCGTTATGCTCTCCCCGGACGCCCCAGAGCGTCGCGATGCTCTTCCCGGACGCCCCAGAGCGTTGCGATGCTCTCCCCGGACGCCCCAGAGCGTCGCGATGCTCTCCCCGGACGCCCCAGAGCGTCGCGATGCTCTCCCCAGACGCCCCAGAGCGTCGCGATGCTCTACCCGGACGCCCCAGAGCGTCGCGATGCTCTCCCCAGCCGCCCCAGAGCGTCGTGATGCTCTCCCCGGACGCCCCAGAGCGTCGCGATGCTCTCCCCGGACGCCCCAGAGCGTCGCTATGCTCTCCCCGGACGCCCCAGAGCGTCGCGATGCTCTCCCCGGACGCCCCAGAGCGTCGCGATGCTCTCCCCGGACGCCCCAGAGCGTCGCGATGCTCTCCCCGGACGCCCCAGAGCGTCGCTATGCTCTCCCTGGACGCCCCAGAGCGTCGCGATGCTCTCCCCGAACGCCCCAGAGCGTCGCGATGCTCTACCCGGACGCCCCAGAGCGTCGTGATGCTCTCCTCGGACGCCCCAGAGCGTCGCGATTCTCTACCCGGACGCCCCAGAGCGTCGTGATGCTCTCCCCGGACGCCCCAGAGCGTCGTGATGCTCTCCCCGGACGCCCCAGAGCGTCGCGATGCTCTCCCCGAACGCCCCAGAGCGTCGCGATGCTCTACCCGGACGCCCCAGAGCGTCGCGATGCTCTTCCCGGACGCCGCAGCGTGTCGTGATGCTCTCCCCGGACGCCCCAGAGCGTCGCGATGCTCTCCCCGGACGCCCCAGCGCGTCGCGATGCTCTCCCCGGACGCCCCAGAGCATCGCGATGCTCTCCCCGGACGCCCCAGAGCGTCGCTATGCTCTCCCCGGACGCCCCAGAGCGTCGCGATGCTCTCCCCGGACGCCCCAGAGCGTCGCGATGCTCTCCCCGAACGCCCCAGAGGGTCGTGATGCTCTCCCCGGACGCCCCAGAGCGTCGCGATGCTCTCCCCGGACGCCCCAGCTCTCCCCGGACGCCCCAGAGCGTCGCGATGCTCTCCCCGGACGCCCCAGAGCGTCGCGATGCTCTCCCCGGACGCCCCAGAGCATCGCGATGCTCTCCCCGGACGCCCCAGAGCGTCGCGATGCTCTCCCGGGACGCCCCAGAGCGTCGCGATGCTCTCCCCGGACGCCCCAGAGCGTCGCGATGCTCTCCCCGGACGCCGAAGAGCGTCGCGATGCTCTACTCGGACGCCCCAGAGCGTCGCGATGCTCTCCCCGGACGCTCCAGAGCGTCGCGATGCTCTCCCCGGACGCCCCAGAGCGTCGCGATGCTCTACCCGGACGCCCCAGAGCGTCGCGATGCTCTCCCCGGACGCCCCAGAGCGTCGCGATGCTCTCCCCGGACGCCCCAGAGCGTCGCGATGCTCTCCCCGGACGCCCCAGAGCGTCGCGATGCTCTACCCGGACGCCCCAGAGCGTCGCGATGCTCTCCCCGGACGCCCCAGCGCGTCGCGATGCTCTCCCCGGACGCCCCAGAGCGTCGCGATGCTCTCCCCGGACGCCCCAGAGCGTTGCGATGCTCTACCCGGACGCCCCAGAGCGTCGCGATGCTCTCCCCGGACGCCCCAGAGCGTCGTGATGCTCTCCCCGGACGCCCCAGAGCGTCGCGATGCTCTCCTCGAACGCCACAGAGCGTCGCGATGCTCTATTCGGACGCCCCAGAGCGTCGCGATGCTCTTCCCGGACGCCGCAGCGCGTCGTGATGCTCTCCCCGGACGCCCCAGAGCGTCGCGATGCTCTCCCCGGACGCCCCAGCGCGTCGCGATGCTCTCCCCGGACGCCCCAGAGCGTCGCGATGCTCTCCCCGGACGCCCCAGAGCGTCGCTATGCTCTCCCCGGACGCCCCAGAGCGTCGCGATGCTCTCCCCGGACGCCCCAGAGCATCGCGATGCTCTCCCCGGACGCCCCAGAGCGTCGCGATGCTCTCCCCGGACGCCCCAGAGCGTCGTGATGCTCTCCTCGGACGCCCCAGAGCGTCGCGATGCTCTACCCGGACGCCCCAGAGCGTCGTGATGCTCTCCCCGGACGCCCCAGAGCGTCGTGATGCTCTCCCCGGACGCCCCAGAGCGTCGCGATGCTCTCCCCGAACGCCCCAGAGCGTCGCGATGCTCTCCCCGGACGCCCCAGAGCGTCGCTATGCTCTCCCCGGACGCCCCAGAGCGTCGCTATGCTCTCCCCGGACGCCCCAGAGCGTCGCGATGCTCTCCCCGGACGCCCCAGAGCATCGCGATGCTCTCCCCGGACGCCCCAGAGCGTCGCGATGCTCTCCCCGGACGCCCCAGAGCGTCGCTATGCTCTCCCCGGACGCCCCAGAGCGTCGCGATGCTCTCCCCGGACGCCCCAGAGCATCGCGATGCTCTCCCCGGACGCCCCAGAGCGTCGCGATGCTCTCCCCGGACGCCCCAGAGCGTCGAGATGCTCTCCCTAGACGCCCCAGAGCGTCGCGATGCTCTCCCCGGACGCCCCAGAGCGTCGCTATGCTCTCCCCTGACGCCCCAGAGTGTCGCAATGCTCTCCCCGGACGCCTCAGAGCGTCGCGATGCTCTCCCCGGACGCCGAAGAGCGTCGCCATGCTCTACCCGGACGCCCCAGAGCGTCGCGATGCTCTCCCCGGACGCTCCAGAGCGTCGCGATGCTCTCCCCGGACGCCCCAGAGCGTCGCTATGCTCTCCCCGGACGCCCCAGAGCGTCGCGATGCTCTCCCCGGACGCCCCAGAGCATCGCGATGCTCTCCCCGGACGCCCCAGAGCGTCGCGATGCTCTCCCCGGACGCCCCAGAGCGTCGTGATGCTCTCCTCGGACGCCCCAGAGCGTCGCGATTCTCTACCCGGACGCCCCAGAGCGTCGTGATGCTCTCCCCGGACGCCCCAGAGCGTCGTGATGCTCTCCCCGGACGCCCCAGAGCGTCGCGATGCTCTCCCCGAACGCCCCAGAGCGTCGCGATGCTCTACCCGGACGCCCCAGAGCGTCGCGATGCTCTTCCCGGACGCCGCAGCGTGTCGTGATGCTCTCCCCGGACGCCCCAGAGCGTCGCGATGCTCTCCCCGGACGCCCCAGCGCGTCGCGATGCTCTCCCCGGACGCCCCAGAGCATCGCGATGCTCTCCCCGGACGCCCCAGAGCGTCGCTATGCTCTCCCCGGACGCCCCAGAGCGTCGCGATGCTCTCCCCGGACGCCCCAGAGCGTCGCGATGCTCTCCCCGAACGCCCCAGAGGGTCGTGATGCTCTCCCCGGACGCCCCAGAGCGTCGCGATGCTCTCCCCGGACGCCCCAGCTCTCCCCGGACGCCCCAGAGCGTCGCGATGCTCTCCCCGGACGCCCCAGAGCGTCGCGATGCTCTCCCCGGACGCCCCAGAGCATCGCGATGCTCTCCCCGGACGCCCCAGAGCGTCGCGATGCTCTCCCGGGACGCCCCAGAGCGTCGCGATGCTCTCCCCGGACGCCCCAGAGCGTCGCGATGCTCTCCCCGGACGCCGAAGAGCGTCGCGATGCTCTACTCGGACGCCCCAGAGCGTCGCGATGCTCTCCCCGGACGCTCCAGAGCGTCGCGATGCTCTCCCCGGACGCCCCAGAGCGTCGCGATGCTCTACCCGGACGCCCCAGAGCGTCGCGATGCTCTCCCCGGACGCCCCAGAGCGTCGCGATGCTCTCCCCGGACGCCCCAGAGCGTCGCGATGCTCTCCCCGGACGCCCCAGAGCGTCGCGATGCTCTACCCGGACGCCCCAGAGCGTCGCGATGCTCTCCCCGGACGCCCCAGCGCGTCGCGATGCTCTCCCCGGACGCCCCAGAGCGTCGCGATGCTCTCCCCGGACGCCCCAGAGCGTTGCGATGCTCTACCCGGACGCCCCAGAGCGTCGCGATGCTCTCCCCGGACGCCCCAGAGCGTCGTGATGCTCTCCCCGGACGCCCCAGAGCGTCGCGATGCTCTCCTCGAACGCCACAGAGCGTCGCGATGCTCTATTCGGACGCCCCAGAGCGTCGCGATGCTCTTCCCGGACGCCGCAGCGCGTCGTGATGCTCTCCCCGGACGCCCCAGAGCGTCGCGATGCTCTCCCCGGACGCCCCAGCGCGTCGCGATGCTCTCCCCGGACGCCCCAGAGCGTCGCGATGCTCTCCCCGGACGCCCCAGAGCGTCGCTATGCTCTCCCCGGACGCCCCAGAGCGTCGCGATGCTCTCCCCGGACGCCCCAGAGCATCGCGATGCTCTCCCCGGACGCCCCAGAGCGTCGCGATGCTCTCCCCGGACGCCCCAGAGCGTCGTGATGCTCTCCTCGGACGCCCCAGAGCGTCGCGATGCTCTACCCGGACGCCCCAGAGCGTCGTGATGCTCTCCCCGGACGCCCCAGAGCGTCGTGATGCTCTCCCCGGACGCCCCAGAGCGTCGCGATGCTCTCCCCGAACGCCCCAGAGCGTCGCGATGCTCTCCCCGGACGCCCCAGAGCGTCGCTATGCTCTCCCCGGACGCCCCAGAGCGTCGCTATGCTCTCCCCGGACGCCCCAGAGCGTCGCGATGCTCTCCCCGGACGCCCCAGAGCGTTGCGATGCTCTACCCGGACGCCCCAGAGCGTCGCGATGCTCTCCCCGGACGCCCCAGAGCGTCGTGATGCTCTCCCCGGACGCCCCAGAGCGTCGCGATGCTCTCCTCGAACGCCACAGAGCGTCGCGATGCTCTATTCGGACGCCCCAGAGCGTCGCGATGCTCTTCCCGGACGCCGCAGCGCGTCGTGATGCTCTCCCCGGACGCCCCAGAGCGTCGCGATGCTCTCCCCGGACGCCCCAGCGCGTCGCGATGCTCTCCCCGGACGCCCCAGAGCGTCGCGATGCTCTCCCCGGACGCCCCAGAGCGTCGCTATGCTCTCCCCGGACGCCCCAGAGCGTCGCGATGCTCTCCCCGGACGCCCCAGAGCATCGCGATGCTCTCCCCGGACGCCCCAGAGCGTCGCGATGCTCTCCCCGGACGCCCCAGAGCGTCGTGATGCTCTCCTCGGACGCCCCAGAGCGTCGCGATGCTCTACCCGGACGCCCCAGAGCGTCGTGATGCTCTCCCCGGACGCCCCAGAGCGTCGTGATGCTCTCCCCGGACGCCCCAGAGCGTCGCGATGCTCTCCCCGAACGCCCCAGAGCGTCGCGATGCTCTACCCGGACGCCCCAGAGCGTCGCGATGCTCTTCCCGGACGCCCCAGAGCGTCGTGATGCTCTCCCCGGACGCCCCAGAGCGTCGCGATGCTCTCCCCGGACGCCCCAGCGCGTCGCGATGCTCTCCCCGGACGCCCCAGAGCATCGCGATGCTCTCCCCGGACGCCCCAGAGCGTCGCTATGCTCTCCCCGGACGCCCCTGAGCGTCGCGATGCTCTACCCGGACGCCCCAGAGCGTCGCGATGCTCTCCCCGAACGCCCCAGAGCGTCGTGATGCTCTCCCCGGACGCCCCAGAGCGTCGCGATGCTCTCCCCGGACGCCCCAGAGCGTCGCGATGCTCTCCCCGGACGCCCCAGAGCATCGCGATGCTCTCCCCGGACGCCCCAGAGCGTCGTGATGCTCTCCCGGGACGCCCCAGAGCGTCGCGATGCTCTCCCCGGACGCCCCAGAGCGTCGCGATGCTCTCCCCGGATGCCGAAGAGCGTCGCGATGCTCTACTCGGACGCCCCAGAGCGTCGCGATGCTCTCCCCGGACGCTCCAGAGCGTCGCGATGCTCTCCCCGGACGCCCCAGAGCGTCGCGATGCTCTACCCGGACGCCCCAGAGCGTCGCGATGCTCTCCCCGGACGCCCCAGAGCGTCGCGATGCTCTCCCCGGACGCCCCAGAGCGTCGCGATGCTCTCCCCGGACGCCCCAGAGCGTCGCGATGCTCTACCCGGACGCCCCAGAGCGTCGCGATGCTCTCCCCGGACGCCCCAGAGCGTCGCTATGCTCTCCCCGGACGCCCCAGAGCGTCGTGATGCTCTCCCCGGACGACCCAGAGCGTCGCGATGCTCTCCCCGGACGCCCCAGAGCGCCGCGATGCTCTCCCCGGACGCCCCAGAGCGTCGCGATGCTCTCCCCGGACGCCCCAGAGCGTCGCTTTGCTCTCCCCGGACGCCCCAGAGCGTCGCGATGCTCTCCCCGGACGCCCCAGTGCATCGCGATGCTCTCCCCGGACGCCCCAGAGCGTCGCGATGCTCTCCCCGGACGCCCCAGAGCGTCGCGATGCTCTCCCTGGACGCCCCAGAGCGTCGCTATGCTCTCCCCGGACGCCCCAGAGCGTCGCGATGCTCTCCCCGGACGCCCCAGAGCGTCGTGATGCTCTCCCCGGACGCCCCAGAGCGTCGCGATGCTCTACCCGGACGCCCCAGAGCGTCGTGATGCTCTCCCCGGACGCCCCAGAGCGTCGCGATGCTCTCCCCGGACGCCCCAGCGCGTCGCGATGCTCTCCCCGGACGCCCCAGAGCATCGCGATGCTCTCCCCGGACGCCCCAGAGCGTCGCTATGCTCTCCCCGGACGCCCCTGAGCGTCGCGATGCTCTACCCGGACGCCCCAGAGCGTCGCGATGCTCTCCCCGAACGCCCCAGAGCGTCGTGATGCTCTCCCCGGACGCCCCAGAGCGTCGCGATGCTCTCCCCGGACGCCCCAGAGCGTCGCGATGCTCTCCCCGGACGCCCCAGAGCATCGCGATGCTCTCCCCGGACGCCCCAGAGCGTCGTGATGCTCTCCCGGGACGCCCCAGAGCGTCGCGATGCTCTCCCCGGACGCCCCAGAGCGTCGCGATGCTCTCCCCGGATGCCGAAGAGCGTCGCGATGCTCTACTCGGACGCCCCAGAGCGTCGCGATGCTCTCCCCGGACGCTCCAGAGCGTCGCGATGCTCTCCCCGGACGCCCCAGAGCGTCGCGATGCTCTACCCGGACGCCCCAGAGCGTCGCGATGCTCTCCCCGGACGCCCCAGAGCGTCGCGATGCTCTCCCCGGACGCCCCAGAGCGTCGCGATGCTCTCCCCGGACGCCCCAGAGCGTCGCGATGCTCTACCCGGACGCCCCAGAGCGTCGCGATGCTCTCCCCGGACGCCCCAGCGCGTCGCGATGCTCTCCCCGGACGCCCCAGAGCGTCGCGATGCTCTCCCCGGACGCCCCAGAGCGTCGCTATGCTCTCCCCGGACGCCCTAGAGCGTCGCGATGCTCTACCCGGACGCCCCAAAGCGTCGCGATGCTCTCCCCAGACGCCCCAGAGCGTCGTGATGCTCTCCCCGGAGGCGCTAGGCAGCAGGGCAGTAAAAAAAGTTTCAAGTCCGGGCAGGGCGGAACGTTCGGTGGGCCCTAAGGAACGTACATGCTCTAATACCATGTCAGAATCAGGAAACAGTAATGATTGAGAAAAGCAGGATGAGTGGTACAAGTAGCAACCCTAACAAAGGGTTGTACCCCATAGGGAGTGACCCACTACAGCCTAACATCACTAACATGATATAAACATGTTTTGACACTTCCGCGCGTCTACCATTCTAGACCTAGAGAGACACGTCAGTAGCAAGGAGAAAACGGTGTGAGGAAGGCGAGACAATGATGTCTTTGCAAATGAGAGGCCATGTGGTATACCTATCCCGCAAATTAAGTGTAGCAAGCAAAGCTTGAAACGGGTACGACCGTCGAAGAGCAGTTAGGAGTGTACAGGGGGGGAAACAGTTGGTGATGAAGGTGCGGGCGGGAAGGCTCCACTGGATGTGCCTGTTGATGCATCTGTGGGTGTGTCTCCTTCCACTACCCAGCGTGAGGAGAGCACGAGCAGCAGCGACGACGAGGAGTGGGAGTCGGAATTGGTGCACCTGTTGAAGATGACGGCGTAGAGGCTTTGCCACGGAAAAGAGGGCGAACCATGGACGGCAGCGCTGCAACAAAGAAGGGGCAGCGTGAGAGCAGGGGCTAAAGAGGGACCCGAGAAGCTTCAGGTGCTGTCACGGGCAAACATGGTGCACTACATGGATGTGAGAGGCGCCTGGGATTGGCAAGGGTGCGAGTGCTGCTTCGACCGAGCCGTGAGGATCCCATTCCGTCCTTCTGACGCAACTGCCAGACTCCATCCTCCTTGTCCCTTTCGATCTACCATCCAGCGCCATTGCTGAGTACTTTGCGGGAGTACACATGAAGCCTTTGGAGATTCTGAAGGGTTTCCGCCTCAGCAGGTGTTCAGCAAAAGGTGTGTCGTGGCGCCGATTGGCTGTGTTGCGGCAAAGGTTATCGAGTGGATGGCCGAGCCTCGCGTGGGCGTGCTCATGGACATGGGGAGGATCATATCCCGCCTGCCTGCCATTCTAACCGATACAGATGCTGCTACAGCTGCAGGAGTTCCTCCTGCAACAGGTGCTGGTTCTGCTGCTGCTAGTGGAACATGGGCTACTCGCTGGGCTGCCTACCGCTGTGCTGTCAGCTTCGCTGCGTTCCTTGTGCTTGTAGCGAGGTGCCCACGTGTTGTGAACCTAAGAACGGTGTCTTTGTCTGCACACTCGGTCGCTTATCCAGCTATCATGCAGGTGGGGGCGGCCAGGCTGATTAAAAACGACTATTTTGCATCCATGCTGGTTCAGGTGCTGGGGGTGAAGGAGAGCGCTGATCTGCAGGAAGGGTTTGGGTTCTTTGTGCAGCACCTGCTGTCAGGCGGGCTGGAGAAGACGCATGCGAGGGGAGGGGCGGAGCCGAGGGGGAGGTTGCTGGGAATGCGCAGGGGGAGGAGGGACGGGAAGATGGCGAGGTGATGGATAGTGGTGGGGGTATGGAACAGGAGGAGAAGCAGGGGGGTGACCTGGCAAGGTTGATTGCGACGCAGGTTGATGCTGGTGGTTGGAAGGACAGAGGGGATGAAGGGGAACCGGAGCATAGCAGCGAGGCGAGCAGAGGGGAAGAGAGGCACAGCAGCGAGGCGAATAATGCAGCTGCTGAAGAGGGTGGCAGAGGGGAAGAATGGTCAGTGGAGGGAGAATCTGAAGGTGTGTGAGTGGGAGAGGTATGTGGATGGCATGGCTTGGATTCTGGCGCATGGAGAGGGAGAAGGGAGGGAGTTTAGATGCAGCTACTGCAGTGACGAGGGGGGCAGCAATAGTGGCTGTGATGTGCAATTGAATGGTATTCCGAAGGGCATGTATGTGAGTGGGGTAAGTGCCACGAATTTCGCTCTTGCTTTGGCCATGGAGCTGTCTAAGCCCGAGAGCTGCATGGAGGTCGTTCTGTACGTGCAGGACGGGAACAATGCCAATAAGGTGAGGGTGGAAGAGGCATCAATTGAGGAGGCTAGAAGCAGGCTGAGAAGAGAGGTAGGTGGAAAGGACAGAACTTGCTATTCATGAGGAATTGGAGGAGAGTGGGTAGCAGCAGACACGAGTCTGGCATTATCAAGCACGAGTGGGGCAGCAACAAGCACGAGTGGGGCAGTATCAAGCACAAGTGGGGCAGCAGCAAGCATCAGTGGGGCAGCAGCAAGCACGAGTGGGGCAGCAGCAAAAACGAGTGGGGCAGCAGCAAGCACGAGTGGGGCAGCAGCAAGCACGAGTGGGGCAGCAGCAAGCACGAGTGGGGCAGCAGCAAGCACGAGTGGGGCAGCAGCAAGCACGAGTGGGGCAGCAGCAAGCACGAGTGGGGCAGCAGCAAGCACGAGTGGGGCAGCAGCAGACACACGTAGGCCAGCAGAAGCATCAGCAATGGGGGATGCATCTGCTTCCAATGCTGCTGCTCTAGCTGAAACTCGACCTTCCACACGAGTAGAGAGCACCGGCACCAGCTACAGTTCTGGTCTCGTTCCTGTAAACACAAGTCCTGTCCTCGCAGCCTTCACGTATCGAGTTGCCCGCATCCTACACTGGGTTCGATTCTATGGCTCAGATATCCTCTTCAAGAAAGGATGCTCCAGGAGTAGGCGAGAGAAAGGGATCTTGCAAATGCCCCATCCGTTTCGAGACCTTCCGAGCCTGCTGCTCAGGCTCGGCGCCATCCCCAAGCCTCTTGAGGCTGCTATGGAGTGGGAATAATGGTCACAGTGCGATGAAGGTGCTGCGAAGCTTCCCGATGATCCCGATGCGAGATTCTTTCAGCTGGATATTCTGGAGGAGAATGCAACAGGAGTGGAAAGCGGGCAAAGGGTAATAGAGCAAGATTCAAAGTTAGGGAGGAAGCACATCAGGGAGAAAGGGCAAAGAGCCAAGGCATCTGGTCAAGGGAGTGACGTCAGAGGGGTTGATACGAACAGAGGGCTTGGTGGCGAAGACCATTGTGGCATTTCGCATGCATCTGGCATGGCTGCTGCGCGGTCGCCTCCGAGAGGAGAGGTGCCCATTTTCCAATGCGTGGAGGATGCGGTGTTCATTGTGGATGCCATCAGCCTCGTTGCAAGCCCACCCGCATGCGCCAACTGCATCCGTTGCTACCGCAGCTACACCTCCTTCATCCCATCCATCGCTCTCGTCGCCAAGTTTGCCTGCCGCCCCCTTGATATTCTCTTCAACCACTTTCTATCCGTCTTCCCGCCACACTCCGTTTGGTTCGACAAGCTTGTGAAGGCAACGGGATTGTCACTGTTTCCCCCGGGACCGCCTGCGGTTGCCAACCTGGCGAGGCTGCGTGGTGAGATAGAGGCGGAGCGCCTTGGATTCTTTATGTTCGTGGCCCTCACGTGGCCGGCCTCCATTCAGGATATCAATCAGTTTGAGCGCAAACGGGCGGAGGAGGGGGACGGGATTCGAGTGAAAAAAAGGCTGGGGAGGAAGAAAGGGAAGGCACGAGGGGAGGAGGAGGAGGAGGAGGATGATGGGGAGGATTTAAAGTCGTGGTGCTACACGGTGTCGGTTGTCGGGCTGTCCGCCAAGCGCCTTGCATTGAGGAATCCCGATGTCGAGTCCGCGGGTCCAGGTTTGAGTGGTGTGTGTACGGGTAGTGAGGGGCGGAAGAAGAGGGCAGCCGTGGACACGCGAATATCTAATATAGTCAATACAGGGGCGGCGATGTGGTGCAGCACACCGAGCTTGTGTGGAGAGCACTAGCAGCGGCGGCAGTGGTGCAGTCATGGGGGGTGGCGATGCTGCTGGTGCTGGCAGCGTCAGCGATGGTAGCAGTGGAAGCGGAGGGGGTGATGGTGCTGGCACTAGTGACATTGCTTGTGCTGGTGATGGTGCTAGTGGTGTTGGTGGTGCTGGTGCTGTTGCTGGTGCTCTTGCTGGTGGCAAGAGCATTGGGCCAAAGGCCAAAATGCCGGAGCTGCCACCTTATCAGATTCCAAAGCCGGGGGGAGTCAATCTGGTGGCATGTCTGCGGGAGATGCTGCTGGGGGAGCCGTGCTACCGCCACCCCTCCCCGGCTGCCGCTTTGGTCCCGCCTGCTCTTGCCAACACCACTGCTGCAGAGCCAACCACAACCGCTTCTGCCTCTTCTACCCCTGCTGCTCCAACAATTGTTGTTGCTCAGAACACTGCTGTCTCGTCTACCCACCCACCTGTGCACACCGCTGCTACCACGTCAACCTATAATGGTGCTGCGACAGGCACTACTGCTGCAGCAGCACCCTTAGCATATACAGAGGCCTCTGGTTCCGATGCTCGCAAGGGAAGTAGGTGCGGTGCTGCGAGGTGTGGGAGTGTGGAGGGTGGTGGTGTGAAGCTGAAGAGCTGCAGTGGGTGTGGTAGGGTGGCGTATTGCAGCAGAGACTGCCAAAGGCGCACTGGCCCTCCCACAAGCTCACATGCCCCTGCAGGACCAACAGAAAGAAGAGTGGGTGGGAAAGTGGTAAAACAGTGGCAAGGTGAGTGGCAGAAGGAAAGTGGACACATCAAAAAAGTTATTGTAAGGATATTTATGATGCATCCTGCCTTAAAGCCGCTGTCTACATTTAGCCCCTAGGAACCTTAAAGCCTCGGACTAATCTGGCTTGACGAGTGAGGAGATGAAGCGCTCTGCTAATCATCCTAGCCAAGTTGGTGGTATTGCGTGCACGGGGAGTTGGGGGGGAGGGGAGGAGAAGGGGGGGTCGCAATTGAGGGGCGGATCTAGCTTTCCCTGGCATTGAGATCGGCCAGTGTGAGCAGCATTCGATTGCCTAGCTGTGCCTTCTTTCGACACATTGCAGCAGTACACGTGTGAAGCTAATGCTGCTAAGATCACTGGTAGGTGTAACTGCTGTTATCTGGTGCTTTCTATTGAGATGCTGGCTCGTGTTTTCCTGCTAGCAACTTGGTTGACATGTCTGTGTCTTGGCAATGTCTAAGGGTACATTCCTGCTTAGACATGTCTTTAATTTAGGCGTCACAAAAGCAGTGTACCGCTCTGCACCGCATTACACCTAAGTATCAAACATTTCCACCGCACTATATCTCGTCTTTTGAGACGCGATGCTTTTGTGACGCGCTCCAGAAATGTACCCTAAGTTCTAGGTACTACCGTACCGTATTAACGGTTGTGGCTGGAACCAGAGTACAACTAGTGTAATTATCTGCCATACTTGTTCTCAATCTGTTGTACTGTGTTTCTGACCCTCTAAGACAAAGGAATATTTATCCTCGTATAGTCACTCACTGCACTGCTGTCGTTGTACCGTATTGAACTGTGTTCCATCATGGTAGCAAAGAAACGCAATCAAACAGGCAGCTACGCCTTGAGAATATCTCAGGTAGGAGGCTTGATCAATACGGCATGAAATTTGGACCTAGAGACTGACAGTAATGTAATGGCAGCCTGAGGGCTTGGAGCATTGAGCTTGAGCTTGAGCTACTGAAAACGCATAGTTTTTTCAAATATGACAAAGAAAGAAAGCACTTGAACCAGTGAGCTTCAGAGAAAGGTCAGCCGCAATTCACCAATCTTCTCAACCCTGATTGCTGTGTTTCGAACCCCTTAAACGTGCGTCTTCGGATATGGTGTCAATGCAATGGGAATGGACGGAGTGAGGTGGCGTGAGTAGCCCGAGTCACGACTACAGGCAGGCGTCCCACGAGTGACTCTTGTCATCTAGGGCTGTGAGTCCTGACCAACAGTTCCAGGCCGTGGTTTACTCGCTACTGATCAGGAGCGTGAGGCGTGTGCGGCACAGAGGGGCGTGAGCCAGAGGTCAAGGATGGCGAGGGTGACGGGCCAGGCGTAGTGCGTGCTGTCGGGGCACAGGTCTGGGCGTGGCAGAGTCAGTCCCATCATGCCGAGCGCACTGGGTGCCCCGGGCTGTGTGGAGGGTAGCCGCCTGAGGGGGGATTGGAGGGGAAGAGGGGGTGGGGAGGAGGGGTGGAGGGGAGAGGGAGGAGGTGGGGGAGGGGGAGGAATGGGGAGGGGAAGAAGCAGAAGGAGCAGAATCATGCGCGGACTGCGTTGCGTTGGTGCTCCAGGTGGATGAAGAAGAAATAGTGTGCTGACAGCGTGGAGGATGCTTAAATAGCTGTGGCGCCGCGAGGGTAGTGGATATGGCGTGGCCCTGTCAGTCAGTGGCAGCATGCCCAGCGCACTGCGGCGAACTGGTGTGCACTGGGGTGTGTGGAGGGCAATGGCTTGACAGGGCTAGCTTGACATGGCATGAGCGGCACGCAGGGAAGAAGCAGTTATTCCACGCAAGCAGCGTGCTGGGAAAATGAAGTACTAGATGAGCCTGGCGGGACCGGAGCACCTCAAGGCACCTCACGGCACCTGGAGGCATGTGACGCTCCCAGCAACCCAACCCACCTGAGGAGCTCGGCTTCAAACGCCGTGCCACGCGCGTTGTTGCTGATGGGGATGAACTCCGGCGGCTTGCTGTCCTCCCTCGCCGCCCACGGACCCAGTACAGTCACGGCTGAGGGGTCCCTCATCACTGCTAGCAGTGGTGGCAGCAGGTTGGATTCTGGATGGAAGGGGCAGGGGAGGAAGCAGAGGAGGTCAGGCCACGGGCCCAGCAGCGTGACGGCTAAGGGGTGAGTCATTCATGAGTGGTAGCAACGGAGGGATCATGTGCGAGTCTGGATCAGGGGAGGAGAGGGAGATGGCGCAGGGGAGGGCACGAGGAGGTAAGCCCAACGCATTCGCTTCAGAGGGGATGGTGGGAGTCTGCATTGGCAGAGGGGATGGCGCAGGGGAGAGCAAGAGGATGAGGTAAGCCCACTATGTCGATACAGTCACTGCTGAGGTTTCTGACATGACTGCTAGTAGTGGTGGAAGCAGGTGGGAGTCTGCATGTGGGGAGGAGGAGATGGAGCAGGGAGGGCAAGAGGAGGAGGTAAGGGCGTGGAATATAAGGTTCAAACAGTGTGCAAGTTCGAGTTTCTAGAATGGTGAACAGCACAATAGTGTGCTGCAGTCCAATATTAGTGCAGTACAGTGCGGTGGCGGTTCTGAGTTCAAACGGGGGGTTCAATGCCATAAGCCCACTGCGACAACACAGTAAGTGGCAAGGGGGTGCTTATGGCTGGCAGCAGCGGTGGCAGCGGCGGTGGCAGCAGCGGCAGCAGGACGTGTGGGTCTGGATAGTGGGGTGGTGGTACGGAAAAGCGATTACAAAAGAGAGTAAGGCTATGGGTGGAGCAAGCACAGCGGGGCATGGTGCAAGGCGCGCTGCACGGCCATGAGCATGGCAGCACACACACACACCGGCGGCAGAGTGTTGTGAGACACACATGACCAGGAGGGCACCCACCCAAGAGAGCACCGAAGGCGTGGGCGGTGGGTTGCTGAATGAGGTCGTGCAGAGTGGTGCCCACCAGCGCCATGTCATACTCTCCACCCCTCTCCCCGTTACCACTGCCACTGCTCTCCTCGCTGCTGCCCTCCCCGCTGCTGCTGCTTCTGCTGCTGCTTCTGCTTTCCCCGCTTCTGCTACTGTCTGTCCTGCTGTTACTGCGAGCATCGCTGCTGGCAGCAGCGTTGTGTGCATCATCCCGCGCGTCAAAGAGAGTGAGCTGTGGCCCCACGAGCGCGGGGTCACTCATCCACGCGGGGAACACGGGCTTCACGGCGCCGCACTGCGACGCGTACGTGAGGTTGAAGGCTGCTGGTGGGCTGCCCTCTGCTCCCCTCACCTTGTACCTGGTGGGAGTGGGGCGCGCATGGATGCAAGCGCGGGATGGGATGGGATGGCACAGAACGGGAGGGGAGGGGAGGGGAGGGGGGAGGGGGGGTGGGATGGAATGGGATGGGATAGGATGGGATGGGTTGGGATGGGATGGGATGGGTTGAGATGGGATGGGTTGGGATGGGATGGGATGGGATGGGATGGGATGGGTTTGAATGGGATGGGTTGGGATGGGATGGGATGGGATGGGATGGGATGGGATGGGTTGGGATGGGATGGGTTGGGATGGGATGGGATGGGATGGGTTGGAATGTGATGGGTTGGGATGGGATGGGATGGGATGGGATGGGATGGGTTGGGATGGGATGGGTTGGGATGGGATGGGATGGGATGTGATGAAACGGGATAAACGGGATGGTATGGGGCACGTACACAGCACGGCCATAGCCGTTGAAGTTCTCCCCGTGGAAGAAGAAGGCAGAGTCGGGCAGCTGACACACCCCTGTGGAGATGAGCTCGCCCGTGCTGCTGTTGACTGGTGGGTAGATGGACCCGTTGCCACGTGGCACGCTGCCACAGGCCAGCATGTTGGGCCAGAACACCTGTGAGATGGGAGTATTTGAGGGGGGAAGGTGGAGATGTGTAGGCAGCAATCAATGAAGACGAGGTGGCATCGGGTGGAGATGAAGGGGAAGGAGAGGGGAGGAAGGCAGCAGGTTGCTGAGAGAAGGCAACAGGACTGCTGCATCTGCTGCAGCTGTGGCAGCTCGCTTTTGGAACAACATAGAACTTCACGCGGAGAAAGGAACTTGGGATTCGGAAGAGATCCGGCGACATGGGAGGCGCCAGCAGCAGCAGCTCACACAAATGTGCTGTGCGCAAGCCGCGTGGAGGAATCATCAGAAATGCCTCTCTGCGGCGATGGAAGCCGCAGGAAAAGTGCATGAAGCCCCAGGGCTTGGCAAACCTGGTGTGCCCGTGCAGCAGCGATGTTACCCATCCCACGCTATGGTGGCTCATCCTGGGCTTGCCTCCTCACCTTGGGCTTGCCAGCTCACCTTAGGCTTGGCGGCAAACTTGGTGAGGAAGGCAGCGCGGGAGGGGAAGCGGAGGAGGAAGCGCAGGAAGCCAAAGGTGTAGCGCAGCTGGGAGTCGCCGAGGAAGAGCAGCGAGCGGCCGTGGAAGCACGCGTGCAGGGCGGGGGGGGAGAGGCGGCGCAGGCGACACGCGTGGGGCTGCCACAGGTGGCCCATCCAGTAACCCGCGTGGTGGGATGCGGTGAGGAGCGGTGGCGTGCAGTAAGGTAGAGAGGCTCTGAGGTGGGGGGGGGGGAGTAGAGGGGAGTAGGAGTAGGGAAGGTAAGATGAGGGATTGGATGATGGAAGGATGGGTGGAGAGAGGAATAAAAGGTTGTGCGGGGGACGAGGACGAGGGAGGAGCACAGGAAATCGTGGGCGGGGAAACTAGAGGGAGGTGAAGCGAGAGGCACGGAGGGAAGAAAGAGGAATTGAGGGACGGCAAGAGGGCATGAGGCGGGATATGCGTTGGGGGAGGGTCCTGGGGAAGTGGTTTGAGGCGAGCAGAGAGGTACGATCAGAATTGTGTGCTGTGGGGGGCAGTGACGGGAGGTGGCAGGCCACGAGAGGGAGAGTGTTGTGAGATGAGAGGAGAGCGAGGGGAGAAGGGGGAGAGTGTTGTGAGATGAGAGGAGAGCGAGGGGAGAAGGGAGAGAGTGTTGTGAGATGAGAGGAGAGCGAGGGGAGAAGGGGGAGAGTGTTGTGAGATGAGAGGAGAGCGAGGGGAGAAGGGGGAGAGTGTTGTGAGATGAGAGGAGAACGAGGGGAGAAGGGGGAGAGTGTTGTGAGATGAGAGGAGAGCGAGGGGAGAAGGGAGAGAGTGTTGTGAGATGAGAGGAGAGCGAGGGGAGAAGGGGGAGAGTGTTGTGAGATGAGAGGAGAGCGAGGGGAGAAGGGAGAGAGTGTTGTGAGATGAGAGGAGAGCGAGGGGAGAAGGGGGAGAGTGTTGTGAGATGAGAGGAGAGCGAGGGGAGAAGGGAGAGAGTGTTGTGAGATGAGAGGAGAGCGAGGGGAGAAGGGGGAGAGTGTTGTGAGATGAGAGGAGAGCGAGGGGAGAAGGGAGAGAGTGTTGTGAGATGAGAGGAGAGCGAGGGGAGAAGGGAGAGAGTGTTGGGAGATGAGAGGAGAGCGAGGGGAGAAGGGGGAGAGTGTTGTGAGATGAGAGGAGAGCGAGGGGAGAAGGGAGAGAGTGTTGTGAGATGAGAGGAGAGCGAGGGGAGAAGGGGGAGAGTGTTGTGAGATGAGAGGAGAGCGAGGGGAGAAGGGAGAGAGTGTTGTGAGATGAGAGGAGAGCGAGGGGAGAAGGGGGAGAGTGTTGTGAGATGAGAGGAGAGCGAGGGGAGAAGGGGGAGAGTGTTGTGAGATGAGAGGAGAGCGAGGGGAGAAGGGAGAGAGTGTTGTGAGATGAGAGGAGAGCGAGGGGAGAAGGGAGAGAGTGTTGTGAGATGAGAGGAGAGCGAGGGGAGAAGGGGGAGAGTGTTGTGAGATGAGAGGAGAGCGAGGGGAGAAGGGAGAGAGTGTTGTGAGATGAGAGGAGAGCGAGGGGAGAAGGGGGAGAGTGTTGTGCGATGAGAGGAGAGCGAGGGGAGAAGGGAGAGAGTGTTGTGAGATGAGAGGAGAGCGAGGGGAGAAGGGGGAGAGTGTTGTGAGATGAGAGGAGAGCGAGGGGAGAAGGGAGAGAGTGTTGTGAGATGAGAGGAGAGCGAGGGGAGAAGGGGGAGAGTGTTGTGAGATGAGAGGAGAGCGAGGGGAGAAGGGGGAGAGTGTTGTGAGATGAGAGGAGAGCGAGGGGAGAAGGGGGAGAGTGTTGTGAGATGAGAGGAGAGCGAGGGGAGAAGGGAGAGAGTGTTGTGAGATGAGAGGAGAGCGAGGGGAGAAGGGGGAGAGTGTTGTGAGATGAGAGGAGAGCGAGGGGAGAAGGGGGAGAGTGTTGTGAGATGAGAGGAGAGCGAGGGGAGAAGGGAGAGAGTGTTGTGAGATGAGAGGAGAGCGAGGGGAGAAGGGGGAGAGTGTTGTGAGATGAGAGGAGAGCGAGGGGAGAAGGGGGAGAGTGTTGTGAGATGAGAGGAGAGCGAGGGGAGAAGGGAGAGAGTGTTGTGAGATGAGAGGAGAGCGAGGGGAGAAGGGGGAGAGTGTTGTGAGATGAGAGGAGAGCGAGGGGAGAAGGGGGAGAGTGTTGTGAGATGAGAGGAGAGCGAGGGGAGAAGGGGGAGAGTGTTGTGAGATGAGAGGAGAGCGAGGGGAGAAGGGGGAGAGTGTTGTGAGATGAGAGGAGAGCGAGGGGAGAAGGGGGAGAGTGTTGTGAGATGAGAGGAGAGCGAGGGGAGAAGGGGGAGAGTGTTGTGAGATGAGAGGAGAGCGAGGGGAGAAGGGGGAGAGTGTTGTGAGATGAGAGGAGAGCGAGGGGAGAAGGGGGAGAGTGTTGTGAGGTGAGAGGAGAGCGAGGGGAGAAGGGGGAGAGTGTTGTGAGATGAGAGGAGAGCGAGGGGAGAAGGGGGAGAGTGTTGTGAGATGAGAGGAGAGCGAGGGGAGAAGGGAGAGAGTGTTGTGAGATGAGAGGAGAGCGAGGGGAGAAGAGGGAGAGTGTTGTGAGTGTCAGATTACCATCCTCATTGTAACCTACATCAATCCTATAAGCTTAGGTTAGAGATAGCCACCCAAACTTAGTTTGGGTGTAGAACTAGGGCTAACCCTAGTTGGGGGTTGGAACTCAAACCTTGGCCCCCAAGGTTGGGTTGGGAATTATTGGTCCCCCCAATAATGTTGAACCACTAGATCAACATTATTGGTCCCCCCAATAATCCCTCAACCCAACGTATTGGTGGGCTCGAATAATGTTGGCTTGGTTCCAACCACCCCCCCCCCCCTTTTAGCACTACTATGTATACCCCCAACTTAATCAACTTAATGGTTCCTCCTCACGTTTTCTCACATGGTAATCAGAGCTACAACGGTTAACACCGTCTCTCGATCCTAAGGACCACACCTAACGCGTGTCGTATCACGCCCCCCTCTCTCACACGGCTCTTTGCCGCTCTTCGCGCCTAAGTTGCGCTATTACACCTTCACGGCCCCCCTCCCCCCTCGAACTCACGCACTCTCCCGTGCCTCCCCCGCACAAGTTACGTTCGGCAGCCCGCTTCCTCCCCCCTCCCCTCCCCTCCCTCACCGCGGCGCATCCCGCCGACGAGGGCGGACGCGACCACCGCGGTGCATCCCGCCGACGAGGGCGGACGCGACCACCGCAGCGCATCCCGCCGACGAGGGCGGACGTGACCACCGCGGCGGATTCCGCCGACGAGGGCGGACGCGACCACCGCGGCGCATCCCGCCGACGAGGGCGGACGCGACCACCGCGGCGCATCCCGCCGACGAGGGCGGACGCGACCACCGCAGCGCATCCCGCCGACGAGGGCGGACGCGACCACCGCGGCGGATTCCGCCGACGAGGGAGGACGCGACCACCGCGGCGATTTCCGCCGACGAGGGCAGACGCGACCACCGCGGCGGATTCCGCCGACGAGGGCGGACGCGACCACCGCGGCGATTTCCGCCGACAAGGGCGGACGCGAACACCGCGGCGGAGTCCGCCGACGAGGGCGGACGCGACCACCGCGGCGATTTCCGCCGAACGCGACCACCACGGCGATTTCCGCCGACGAGGGCGGACGCGACCACCGCGGCGGATTCCGCCGACGAGGGCGGACGCGACCACCGCGGCGATTTCCGCCGACGAGGGCGGACGCGACCACCACGGCGATTTCCGCCGACGAGGGCGGACGCGACCACCGCGGCGGATTCCGCCGACGAGGGCGGACGCGACCACCGCGGCGTTTTCCGCCGACGGACGAACACCCGCGGGCGACGAGGCGCATCCGCGGACGGACGCGCACCCGCGGGCGACGAGGCGCATCCGCGGACGGACGCGCACCCGCGGGAGACGAGGCGCATCCGCGGACGGACGCGCACCCGCGGGCGACGAGGCGCACCCGCGGACGGACGCGCACCCGCGGGCGACGAGGCGCATCCGCGGACGGACGCGCACCCGCGGGCGACGAGGCGCATCCGCGGACGGACGCGCACCCGCGGGCGACGAGGCGCATCCGCGGACGGACGCGCACGCCGCGGGCGACGAGGCGCATCCGCGGACGGACGCGCACCCGCGGGCGACGAGGCGCACCCGCGGACGGACGCGCACCCGCGGGCGACGAGGCGCATCCGCGGACGGACGCGCACCTGCGGGCGACGAGGCGCATCTGCGGACGGACGCGCACCTGCGGGCGACGAGGCGCATCCGCGGACGGACGCGCACCCGCGGGCGACGAGGCGCATCCGCGGACGGACGCGCACCCGCGGGCGACGAGGCACATCCGCGGACGGACGCGCACCCGCGGGCGACGAGGCGCATCCGCGGACGGACGCGCACCCGCGGGCGACAAGGCGCAGCCGCGGACGGACGCGCACCCGCGGTCGACGAGGCGCAGCCGCGAACGAACGCGCACCCGTGGGCGAACAGGCGCATCCGCGGACGGACACACCCGCGCAATCGCCAAGGCGCAACCGCGGGCGACACAAACGCAGCTGCGGGTAACCCGGCGCCGCCGCACGCAACATGACCGCACCACCCTTCCAAGTGGTGTCGTCCCTCCCCCCCCCTTGTTTGACCGCACCCGCCCTCAAGCCGGTGTCGTCACCCCCTCCCCCCCTCCTCCTCCTCATGGCGGACGACTCCACTCCCATTAGGCTCGGAGCTATTGACAAGCTCGAGCTTCGCCATGACATCCACACCCTCCCCGCCTATCAACTTTCTACTCCCAACCTTCACAATGTCCTCACTCATCATCTCCCATATCACAACCCTCAACAAGTTCAGCATCTTCTCCCCTCCACCCCCACTCCCACCACTCCCACTCCTCCTCCACCCACACCTCCGCCTCCAGCCCTTCTCGCTCACTACCCTCCACCCTATGCTGGCTGGCCTTACCCTCCTTACCCACCTCCCGGATATGGCCATGGGCCCCCGGCATCTGCTGCTAATGCTGCTGAACAGACCTCCTCCTCCATCAACCCTCCTGGCTTTACTCAGTTCCCCTCTGCTGGATTCATAGGCCATGTGAGCACTGCTCCTGCTGATCCTCGGTATGCCCATGCTATCAATGAGTCCCTCTTCCAGTATTCCGCCTACTCCTCCTCCTCTGCATGTCTTGAGTTTATCCTTGACAGTGGAGCCACACACAC